TGCCATACAACACACACGTTTAGCCCCAAACCAACCAACTGCCAGCTGGCCAGTGACCACCTCGACTTAAGGTAATGAGTTCCATATGTTTCCATAAGAACCCAGCTAAGCTTTTCCCCAGCAGTTCTCAAAAAGTGTTCTCCCCCCTCCCCAGCTTCCAACTCGCGCTTGGCCCACCCTTGTTTCATTTGCTCTTGATGAGGGCAGGAGGGAGAAGGCTGGGTGGCACTGACAAGGAGGCAATGCTCTCGGGAATCACCATCCTGACTTCACATTTCCAGATCCTCAGGGCACATGGTCGGGGGGGAGGGTGGGGGTGGGAGGGACGGATGTGCTACCAGCCCCTGGCAGTCCCTCTATAGGAGCTGTGTGAGGCCATAAGCCTCTCAGGGTCTCATTTGCCCCATCTCTAAAGTGGAAAGTGGGCATAACAATCCCTGCTCAGGGAAAACAGGTATCACAAAAAGAGCCCTAGACAGGAAGGTAGAGGCTTGGGTTCGAGTCCTGTCTTGACTATGAACTTTCTGTATATGCCTGAGCAGGTTCCTTCCCCTTTCTGGGCCCTTCTGTCCATAACAAGCTTTAGATTTATGAACAAATGGCAAAACGTACAGAGAAGTACATCAGCTTATCTGTCAGATGTGGGTGGCTCCAGGGTAGAGCTCGCAGGAAGCCCAAGGCCTCCCTACCATGGTCAGTGTTACTGCCCACCTGGGCTCCCTTTGACGGCGGTGTGGCCCACTGAGAGTTCGGCCTCCTATGTCTGAGACAAAGTTGGAGAAGGGTGGTGGTGGTGAGGAGGAGAGGGAGTGTCCCCAGATGGAAAGTCAGTTTATAGCTTGGGTGGAGAAGAGGGGAGGCCATGGTCAGCCAGCCCCCAGCCATGGAGTAACACGAATCTGAGTTCAGAGGGCCACAGCACCCACTTCCTTAATCTGGGTCGTCAAAGACAACCTCCAAATCCTTGTCCTAAATAACCTACTACCCTGATCCGGACTGTCCAGATCCTACCCAAAGACTGACTCACTAACCTTGATCATTGATGCTACTAGTCAGACTGACCCTCACACTATGTCTGTTAACCCAGGCCACAGACTGCCAGCTGCCAGCTCCCATCCACACTTAGTCCCAAACCCTGTCACAGTCTGGCTGAACCCCAACTCTGGACACACTCTGACTCCTCACCCTACTTTCAGAGTGATTCCTGATTTTGGTCAGGAGAAGGCCCCTTGACCTTGCCACTGACTTACCCTTAAGAGGAGAAATAACCAGAGAAGAATGAAATGCTAAATTGTGAGTGAGGGGCGCCTGGGTGGCTCAGTGGGTTAAGCCTCTGTCTTCCACTCAGGTCAGGATCCCAGGGTCCTGGGATCCAGCCCCGCATTGGGCTCTCTGCTCAGCAGGGAGCCTGCTTCCCTTCCTCTCTCTCTGCCTGCCTCTCTGCCTACTTGTGATCTCTCTCTGTCAAATAAATAAATAAAAATCTTTAAAAAAAAAATAAATAAACAAACAAACAAATAAATAAATAAATAAATAAATTGTGAGTGAAATAGGACATGAGAGAGGACAGTAGGGCGGGCGGGGGTGGGGGGAGACTGGAGCAGAGGGCAGAGGCTTCCCGGAGGACCCCAGCGGGTCTGGGGCCACACTTGGAAGGTCGGATTGGCCTTGTGCGGGGCACGTCGCAGGCGCTCGAGGAATGCGAGTTGCCTGAAAGAATGAAGGAAGGAAGGAACGGGGGTGCGATCCAGGGCGGCCACCCGGCCAGGGCAAAGCTGCCTAGGCAGGAAGCGGGGTGGGGGCACGCTGAGGCAGCATCGGGCCGAGCGCAGCTGGGGGCAGCGGGAGAGCAGTCCGGTCAGCGACTCCGCTGGGTGGGGGTGCCCCCCCCCCCCAGGCTGGGAGGCTGGGAACTGGGAGGCCGCGCTGCTGGCAGAGTGGCGGGGGCGCCGCGAGGCTCCGGATGGGCTGGGAGCCCCGCCCGCAGGCTGCGGAGGGAGCCGGAGCCAGAGCGGAGCCAGAGCTCAGACATCCGGGCGCCAGCGAACACCTGCGAGCGGCCCCCAGGGCCCGCGGGGGGAGCGCTGGTCGCCGGGCCGGGGGCGGGGCGGGCCGGGGGCGGGGCCGGCTCGCCTCCGCCCTGCCGGGCTCGGGCCACGTGGGCTGAGGCTCCGCCCCGGCCCGGGCCCTAAGCCACAGCGGGTGGGCAGCGGCTCTAGAATTGCGAGGGAGGGGAGCGGGCAGAGGGGACCCGGAGAAGCAGTTCTGCGGGAGAGAACGGTACCGGCTCTTAGAGTGTAGCCTGGGGAACGGAGAAGAGTGGTGGCGGTGCGAGGTGATGAGGCCGAGAGGACACATAATTGAAGGTTGCCGGGCGCATCCACAGCTGGGGAGAGCTATAACTGGCGTTCTCAAGACACCATCTCCGGTGTCACGGGCATGACTTTGAATCCCTGCTTTGTTACTTAGAGCTGTGTGGCCACGGGCAAGTTACTTTGCCCGTTCTGAGCCTGGCTGTCTTGCTTGTTTGTTTTATTTACAAAACAAAACTCTCTTCCAAATGTCCCTGTTTCAGAGCTGATGCGATAATGAACCCAAGATACTCAGCTAATAGTGAAGCTTGTGTTTCAGGGAACTTGGTAGATGCTTTATGTACGTTACCTTTAATCTGAGTCACAAACCTGCAAAGGAGGTACCATCACCCTCTTTCACAAATGAGGGAGAGTGACCCTGGGTGGCCCTGGGTCTTTCATTCTGCAAGCACCCACTGGGGACTAAAAAAGTACCAGGTGCAGGAAATGGCGAGGGAGAAGAGCTGGCCTGGAGGAGACATGAGAATATGGATTTTTAAATTCCTTGCTGTGCTACGTCCCTGTGGTGTGTGACCTCCAAGTTATTCAGCCTCTCTGAATCTGCTTCTTCTGTAAAATGGGGATAATGATACCCGCTTTGCTGGGTTGTGGTGATTAGAAAAAAATTAAGATAACATAGAGCCTGGCACCTGGCAGGCACTTGATAGGTGATTATGACAGAAGACACTATCCTCAATCTGAGAGTTTTCCTACCCGCAGTCAAATCGCTTTCACTCTCTAATGACTAATGAATTGGCATGCTGGTTTCAGCTTTTGTCCCAGCCACCTGAACAGCTCAGTCTCAGCAGACCTGACAGGCAATTTCCTTGGAATTAGCTTAATAATACCTTGTAGGTGTGTGATGCATTTCAAAGAACTTTCCCACCATTATCTTCTGTCTGGGGAGCAAGAACTGCCAGCTGCTGGGCAAAGGAGAAGAGAGGCTTGGAGAGGTAAAGCGGCTTGCTCAAGGTCACACGGCCGCTGCGGAGCGATTTGCGTCTTTCTAGCCATCCCCAGTCCCCTAGCTTCTGAGTGAGCAGGAAGCAGCATGCTGTGGCAGAAAGGGCAGAAGATGAGTTCAATGACTGCGATCAATGGTCGAAGGTAGGGCCACGTACTTCAGGGTGGATGGCTCAGGATCAGCAATCTTACCTAGATGTGGAAACTGAGGGCCAAGAGGGGCAATCTCTCGCTTGCGCTTGGATAGCTAGGATGTGTTAGAGCAAGGATCTGCACCCCTGTACGGCTGTCACCAGAACAAGCACAGCACCCCTAACAAAACCTGGGTCCCTAGACCCAACCTGGGTCTACTTGGTTGAGGTAAGAGTTCCTCACATAGGGACTGAGGACCTCGCAGGGGATTGGAGGTCTGCTATGACTCTGCAAGAGGGTGTGTGTATTTTCTGGTGTGCTCAAACCTCCCACCAGATCATCAGAGACCAGGAAACAGGTTAGGAACCGCTGGTCAGCCAGTTGGCAAAGACAGAGGTTGCCTTCCCACCACGTGCCCCTGTTCACCCCTGAAAGCTCACCCGGGTTAAGGCATGAAGGGTGATGACGTGACTTGTTTGTTATGAAATATTGAAGTAACTCATGCCAGGGGCCAACACACAGATGAGATCATATCATAAACAGGAATCTCATGAGGCCAGGAGCCTGGTGGAGCCCACCTGGGGAGCTGCCAGGTGGGGAGCAAAGGGGGATGGTGGTGATTGGTGGTCTTGCCCTCTGCCCCACTCTCAGACCTGGCTTCATGGGATAGCCAGTCTCAGGCTCTGCTCCTGTCCACTACAATTGTAGTCACTGTAGTTATGTTAAAATCCCATCTCAAGGGGCTGTGAGAACCCGGCTCAGACCCATTATCCATGGAGCCTCAGACTCTCCATTTCTGAAATAGAGTCAAAGATGCTCACAGAATAGACTCCCAGTGGAGGTGTTATGGGAAGGAAATACCAGAAGGAATGGGGGCTGTGAGCCTGCTTCAAACTCCCAGTCTAGGCTCAGTCTTCAACTACCTGGTGGGAGGAGAGGGATTGGTATTAATGTTCCCCAATCAGCACCTAAATCATTCTGATCAGAGTGGCTGAGGGGTTTGAGGGATGAGAAAAGCCCCTCTCCTATTTTTTCCAAATTTGGAAGCCCAAGAGGAAGCCAAATCAGAGAGCATGAGGAGGGAAATGAAACCGGGCCCTGATCTGCTTATTCATCTCTAAAATGGGTCTATCAACCACCACCCCGGTCTGGGCTCTGAGTGAAGCTCCACTCTTCCCCATCCCCTGCTAGAAAGACCTCATGAATAATTAATGGCACCAAAGCCATAGGGTAATGGAGCAAAACAGCTCAAGGTACCTAAGAAACTGGGACTCAGGAGACCTAATTTCTATCCTGAGCTCCCAACTTGCAGATGAGCTCCCCTCACATCTTTCCTCATCTGTAAAATGAGGGGCCAGGGCCAGGATCTTCTCTGCACGTGGATCCCATCATAAACCTTTTCCACTGTCCCCCCAACTCTAGTCTTAGCTGGCATTTCCCCACATCTCCCTTACATAAGCAAGTTTACTTTTCCCACGGTCCAAGAAGGACATTGATTTCTCCTAAATTCAGCCTTATGAGAGTGTTAGCACTTAAGGAAAACTAATTATATACTCAAGTGTTTAAAAACCGTTTATTATGCAAAATGTTAACTTTTATAAAAAGTTTAATATACATTGCATGGTCACAGAAAGTCACCTTCCTGCAAAAAAGGTACAAAAGCTATATACTCTATTATAGAGTTCATAATCAGGGCAACAGAGCCTTTCTCCAAGGAGACCAGAAGACCAGCTCTACTGCGGCCTTGGCAGACTTTGGAGAGCAGCCACCCCCCCCACCAACCTCCACACTGTGAAAGAAAGACTTTAAAACTTAGGGGTGGGGTGGGGGCCGGGAGACATTGCCCAGCTGGTGCCCAGAGCTAGCTCTGGCTCTTTAGGCCACCCAAGTTCACAGTCCTTCGCTCCCGGGCGCCAGGTCCAGGTTCGAGGCAGGGGTTCGGGGAAGTCAAGTGGGCAGGGCGAGGTTGGGGCCCATCCATGCCCTCGGGCTTCCGGCCGTAGAGGGTCCCGGGGTCCCAGGCGGAACGGGCGCCAGCACCTGCGTTCTGGGCGGGGGAGGAAAGAAGACCAGGGAGCCATCAGTTTCCGCCGAGCGCGCCGAGGCGGGGGCCGTCCGCAGACTGCCCGGCGCCAGGGAGGAAACTTGGTCTCTACCTCCAGCTGATAACTCCGAGCCCCACGCTGCCCCCACCCAGTTGGCGCCAAAGGACCACAGGCGGAGCCTGCAACCACCCCGCCCTCCTGGAATTGACACTAGCTGGGAGAGGGCAGAGGAAGGGGCAGAGGAAAATACAGCTCCTTTTACGATTCCAAACTACAAACAGAACGGCTCTTTTATTCACCTGCGCCTACTTTTTCTCGTGTCTTTGGCCTCTGATGGAGGGCAGGGGCAAAATGCGTTCAAGGTTGAAACGCACATAGGGCGGGGAATTGGTTCTATCATTCATTTAATGTAACCACGGTAAGTCCCTTGCCCCTCTATCGCCTCGTTTTCCCCAAATTGAAGAGGCAGTAATTCCTTAAAAGGCCAACCAATTCCAAGATTTGTCGTTTAAGCACCGCCCTACCTCCACCCCCCAGGGCGAAGGTGAGGATGCTTACCTGGAGGTGCCAGGACTGCCAGGTCAGTGGCAGAAGCTCCTCTTGTCATTGGAAATCACAAGTTCCGGAGCGAGCTCAGCTGTCTGAGAGAAAGGAAAGAGGGAAAAGTTATGCACGGCATTTGGGAGTTTTAGGGGTCCAGGCAGCATCCTGGCTCTGGAACTCAGCCCCGCCCCAGCTCCCGCGCACGCTCCCACACACCTGGATGGGAAGATGCGGGCCGTCTGGGGGTCCAGGGGCGGGCTCGGCCAGAACCACCTGCAGGTCGAGGATATAGTCGATGACGCGCTGCAGGATTTCCACCTGGCTAAGCTGAGTGCCTCGCGGGACTCCGGGGACCAGTTCCCGCAAGCGCGAATAGCAGTGGTTCATGTCGTCCAACAGGCTCAGCGGCTCCTCGGCTGCCGGACCTTTGCCGCGACCGCGCGCGATGGCCAGGCTGCGTTCAGACAGGCAGCACACCGCCTCGTAGCAGCCGCGCACCGGGCTCAGAGCCTTCATACTGAGGAATGAGACTGGAGGTGCCGAAAGGACGAAGACAGCCAAAAATCCCCAATAGCAGCTGGCAACGCGCGCACGCCAGCAGCGGCCCCACTTATAGAGCCCGCCTCGAAGGCACGCCCCTTTATGCAAAACGTGCGCCCGGGCCCCGCCTCCGCCAACCCTGGGCGTTCACAACCCGGTTAAATTGCAAACAGGCTTCCTCCGGCTGGTCTGACGCCGAATACCGCGGAGCCGCGGATTCAAAGAATGAGGAAGCGCTGATACTGGGGAGAGGCAGGGCCTCTTTTGCCAGCAAGGATTTTAAAAATCACTTAAAACCATTAAGTTTAAGAATTTGCCTTTTCCTGGCAGCGCCCCAGATCTTTGAGCTCCCCTGCCCCCTGCCAGTCCACCCACAGCCCCACACTAACTCGAACCCACAGCTCCTCTGAGGTCATAAATCCCTGAACAGCAAAGAAGATTTTTTTTTTTTTTTTTTAAAGCAAAGGATTTTTCAAGGGAAACTTGTAAGGAATTAGTGCCGCCTTGTTCCCCAATTTGCTGTTCGTCTGACCTCCAGACTCACTGGCGTCAGGAATTATCTTGTGACCAGAGGGGAAAAAAATTAATTGCGGTGAAGCTGAGGTTACAATGAAGAAAACAGATTTGGGCTAGGGCTGAGATTGCAGAAGGAGGAGGGGAAGGGGGTTTGAGCAAAGAACACTATTTATTTGAACAACAGGGGAAAAGAAAAAAAAAAAGCAGACTGAATCCGTGATTTTTGCATGGGGAAAGAAAGGAGCTCCCACCCTCTGGCCCCATGGACTTCATAAGCAGCCAAAGATATGCCAATTGTGTTTTGGAAGTGAGTTTGATTAGAATTTTGGATAGAGTTTTAAATATGGGGGACAGACAGGATGATTTCTATATAAATCTTTTTAGGGGCCCCCATTGGGTCAGCCAATCTCTTAACTCTTGCTCTGCCCTTCCCCCCTCCACCCCCCCCCCCCACTTTCCACACACCTCTCTGCAGAAAACAATAGTTTGGTAATTTCATCACTCAATTGTCTGTCCCTTTCTGCTATGGAAGGGTAGGCCACCTGGACTTGATTATTCTTAGCCTTGCTGAAATAGCTCCAGCTCTAAGAGCCCAGGAAAAGGATCAGAGGACAGGGAAGCTAAGCCTTGTATTGCAACAGGACATCACACTCAGTATTCTTTCCTTGTCTTCTTGTCACTTCCCAGAACTTTTGGGAATTTGCAGCCTCAAATGTTGGTTTTCATCTTGGAAACCCAGGTGGGATTCCCCCAATGGTTGCTTCCTAAGTCAATCAGTTGGTAAATATTTATGGAGTCACCTTACATAAAACAGTGGCTCCTGTTCTCAAGAATCTCACAATTTGGGGAGACAAAATTAACACAGGAAACAATTAAGAGTTCTATAGTATGTGGCACTGATTAACAGGACAATGGGAGCTCAGAACTAGGAGAATCTCAAAATTGTCATGGTAGAAAGGACATTGGGCTGGGGATCAACATCCCAGCCATAGGATCTCGAACAAGTCCACGTACCCTGGCCTTGGTTTGCCTTGTGAATAATATGGTGAGATGGTGCTAAGTGATTATTTAAAATCCTTTCCAATAATGGAAATCTAAGGCTTTATGAAATTTGGATAGGCAGGAGTGGGATGGTAAAGGGCCCAGAGAGGGGCTATAAAACATGTCCAGTGTCACGCCACAGCTAATGGCAGAGCCAACCCTGAAGTCCCATTGTTTCCCATCAAACCACAGGGCTCTGTGTCGCGAGAAAGGGGTCTTCTAAAGACTTTTCCCTAAAAAGTTAATGTTTTCAAGTTTCTTCTACTCTTTAGCATAAGAAGGAGGAAGATGATAACCTGTGAGTGCCCAAGTCAGTCTATAAATGCTATAGACGTCAAAAGAAGAGAATGCCAGCTATTTGGTCGTGGGAAGGGGAAAATGGTGGCTCTGCAAGTGGTCCTGAGTGACCAAATAGAAAACCCTTTCCTTTTCTATCACATAGACTTCCGTGGTTTGTGCAAAATGGTCTAGCTGGGGCTGGCAGGGGCGAGGGTGGGGGGGGGGTTGCGGGCGGTAGGGGGTGCTGAGGGGTGGTTCTGAAAAATCATGGCCTTTGGGGCCGGGCAGATTTATGTTCACATCCCTGTTCTTCTCTTTTACTAATGATGTTGAACTAAGTCAACTCTCTGTGCCTCAATTCCCCAGTTTATAAAATGAAGCTAATTAGACCTACCTCATTTATTCAACAAATAATTATCGCATGCCTCTGCTCCGCAAGGCACTTGACATGCTCTCTCCACCAGATCGGTTAGTCTCCTCGGTGCCTGCGGACACAGCATAGGGCCAGGTGTGTGGTAGGTGCTGGGTCCACAGGTCCATACAGGTTCTCTTCTCTCCTTTTCCCTCCTCCGTTACTACCACTGATGCCTCAGGCTTGTGTACCTGTTTGCAAAGCACCTTCACATTTATTATTTCCCAAGATGATTTCAGGCTAAACTGCCTCTGGGCTGTGTGACACAGGCAGCAGAAAGTGCAGTGGGATTAGCAAGCAGAATTCTCTCTTGCCACGCCAGTAACTTGCAATGTGGCCTTGGACGTGTGTTCTTCCTTCCTGGGCTGAATTTTCTGCAAAATGGTGGGGGAGGAGGGAGCAAAGGACCTCTGGGGGTCTTCTCCAATCTAAGATTCTAATTCTGAAAGAAGCAGGGTACGGTTGGGAACACTGAATAAAGATTGAACCCGAGAGACTTCTTTTTCCAACAGCGGACTGGAGGGCTAGCTCAGGCCTTCTGCGACTAGTTTAGTGGTGGTGGGGCCTCAGCCTCTTATTCCAAATGCCTCTGAACTTTCTGTTCCCAGTTCTGCTCCTTTTACCAGCTTTTTCCCCCCTCTTGCATTTTTTATTTTTATGAAAGGATGTCATTAAGGCTTTTGTCTGCGCTGTTTTTGTTTCAGAACTTTTCTCACAATCCTATTTTTTGTTGAGGAATCCGCTCCTTTGCCCAGCTGTGGGTCCCGGTCCCACAGCTGTGTTGATCTAAGACTCAGCCCCAGACAGCCTGGCGCCAGGGTGGGACGTCATGCGTTCACACAGGGATGCGTGTCCCAGGCAACCTTTCCTCGGGCAGTCACCGGTCGGCGACTGCCGCCCCCACCAATGAGCGCCCGACACCCGAGAAAGGGGCGGGGCCTGCGCCTCCCCGGCAGGCGAGCGGCTTGTGAATTGCAGATGCTGGGAACTTGATAACGTTCCCTGAATTGGGGCCCTTTAAATTCTTTTTTCCCTCCCTCTTTTAGTTCTTTCTTTTCTTCCTTTTGTTTATTCTTTCTCTCCACCTTCTTCCTTCATCTATATATGTATATAGTTTTTTTTCTTTGTCATCTCCTTCTTCCTTTTAAAACTATCTCCTCCCAGTGTCAGGAATCATTTTGTAAGCATTTCCAGGAACTGAATCTTCCTTTGCCAAAACTGAAAGAAAAAAAAAAAGAAGAAGAAGAAGAAAAGAAAAAAAAGTCAGTGTTGTGTACTCTGATTTTTTGAAGAGTTGGCAGAACTATTAAGTTATACTGTTTTGTCTTTAAAATTTTAAAAAGTGGTGGGGGGTCTCTGAGCTGTCGCTTTCAAAGCCAGAGTAATGATGATGAGAACTGCAGATGTCTTTTTGCCTAAACTGAGTTTCTATCTACTTGTCTACCTATCCATTTTCCCCCCGTTATGTTGTGAAGTTGGAATCAAGGGAACCTCAAACACTTGCCCAAGGTTACTGGGATGTCAGCTGTGGACTTGGGGCCTCCCCCTCCCTTGGCTCCCTGTCCACTCTGTCCACTAACTCTCATTAGCGTTAGGGTGGTCTGCTGTGGTCTCAGAACATCCCCAGGTGCCGTATTTCCTAATAGGTACCTGTTTGCTCCCAAAGTGCCTTAACTGTGTGCTGAGGATTTTCCAGCTGGGCACACAGAACATGTCCCCCCCCTCCCCCACCTCCCACTCCCCCCACCTCCTACTCCCCTTCTCCTGGCGGTGAGCCTAGACCTCAAAGTGCTGCTTGAGACTCATGTGACACAAGGAAAGCACAGGGAATTCAGAATTAAGACCAGCCTCAAATTCCTGTATGAAGTACTTCCCCTCACTCTGCCTCAGTTGTCTCCTCTGTAGAATGGGGAGGAAAATAATATCCACTTATCTCACAGCTGAAAGGATCAAGGGGAGGAGGGATGGAAAGTACTGTGGGAACCAATTAGTTATTTTTCTGTGCTATGATGTGATGGACCCCTGGTGGGTGGACTAGGTGGTACCAGTTGCGTTTAATGGTTTATGCTGAGACTGTTCTCAGGAATGTGGGTAATATGGAGAAGGGACTGTAGGAAGCATGGGGGTCTAAGACTTGAGTCCTTATAGGGGTGGGGATTTCAGAGACCTCCAAGATAGGCTATTCTATAGTTAAGAAGCACTTGGTGCGGGTGCCTGGGTGGCTCAGTGGGTTAAGCTGCTGCCTTCGGCTCAGGTCATGATCTCAGGGTCCTGGGATCGAGTCCCGCATCGGGTTCTCGGCTCGGCAGAGATCCTGCTTCCCTCTCTCTCTCTCTGCCTGCCTCTCCATCTACTTGTGATCTCTCTCTGTCAAATAAATAAAATCTTTAAAAAAAAAAAAAAAGAAGCACTTGGTGCTATCATCACCATCATCATCCTTCATTGAATCTTAACCGTTCACCTTCTCATACATTATCTCACTGATGCATTTTATGAAAAGGAAACTGAGGCTCAGAGAGGTTATTATGCTTGCCCAAAGTCACATAACCAGTGAGTGTTAGATCCAAGATTTGCACCCGTGTCTGCCTGTCTCAAAACTTGTATCCTTCTTTGCCTATGCCTTTCATTCTGTCCCTTCAAAAACTTCTTGCGAAGGTAGATTGGACCTGAGAGCATTTTACTGTACTGGATAGAGAAAAGCAAAGTGGGGGGGAGGTGGGGGATGTATTTGATAGGAAGACAGACACTAAGGTGCTGGGAACATTAAGGGAAAAACCTTTCTTTTC